GATGGTCGTGCGGTCCACAAAACAAAAAAACACTCGAAGTTATATCAGGGGCGCTAGGTAAATTGGCCCACAGCCTTCCCTACGTTACTATGCAATAAACCACCAACTTACCAATAGGTCTACTACAATAGACCTATTGGTAGAGATAGTTGAAAATAAATACATATTACAATATTATTGTATAGGTAAAGAAATAATAATAAGACTTACTCACAATCAATTTAATTTAACAATCTGACGACCGGTTTCGCTTTCTACAATTTGCAAAGCATCCTCAGGTCCAGATACAAAGTTAAACTAATGCTGCAATAAAATAAACCCAATTAGGGTGGTGTCTAATAAAGATAAAATAAATAAATAAGTTAGTTCATACATATTATAGTAATTATGCCAATATTACGTGTCTGTGGTTTTCAAAATGAATAAATTTGAATATATAAAAGGTATTAACAGACAAGGTAAGACCCACAATTGGTATAAAGTAGTAATATTATATTGTAATAAATTAATAAATGAGCAGATAAATAAAACAAAACAAACATTACTTACATGCCGGTACTCTATTAATTGATGGATGGTAGGTCATGGTTGCAAAATCATGTATTGTTGATTGGAGAACTTTAATGTGCTATTGCAGTTGTTTTGACAATAAACGGGAAGTTCTTGAGGAGAACAGATTTGATCCAATGAATTAGAGATAGGTATATTGTGGTTGTTTGTCAGATGAAAGTGATGTTCTTTACTATTGTATTATTTAAATTATTTACACTTATATCAGAGATATATTTTTGGAATATGTGTTATTTATTGAGTATTTATGTAATGAAGGAGACAGTTTTTTGACAATGAATAAGAATAGCTGTACCGATTGTGTGGTTGTGCAATTATTTTGACTTGTAATTAGCAAGTCTATTGGCAAAATTAATCAATTATTGTAAAGTCAATTATGTAAAATGTATATAAAAAGTATATAAAATTATTACAAATTAAGACAATCTGGACAAATTAAACACACATTAACAGGAACAGAAACACTAAATGACGGGACAAACATTGAATTTAAAACTTAAACTTTGTGGGGGGGAATGGAAGAAACTTCCAGCACTACATCTCACTGTTGGAAATAATGAGTTTTTTTCATATTTAATCTATTAGATTTAAGAGGTAAATTTGACATATGTAGGTTGAAGTGTGACAGTTCTTCTTCTATTACTAAATACTTTAAGTTTAGTTATTCAGTATTATGGAGTATGTTGATATTAATGTATGTCTCAAAGTTTGCTTTAATTTAGTAATCAAAAGTAAATTGTTGTGATTAATATTGGCATATTTTAACAATTTTAATTAATAAGTTTCAAATTCAAAAGATTTTCCTCAATGTAACAATGTGAATAATTGAAATACATCATCTGTTATAACTAACCAATTTTAGTCTGAATTTTCCAGAACAAATTAAAATGATTATTTAGTAAATACAAACAAGTGTACTTGTAATTGAAAGGTATAACAAATTTACAAATTGCCTAAAAATTTTTTTTATTTGAAATAATTGTCGGTCTGAGCTATCTGTTATGGTGTATAAACATTTCTTAAAAATATTTAATTTAAATTATAATAATTAATAATTAAATAAAGTAGTAATTGGGTGAATATTGATGATTATTCAAATTTTTGAGTTCGAGTAATTGACTGACTTAAGTCTTGAATAAGTAGTTGGCAATACTAATTTATGACAATTGGAACCGGAAATTGATTCCATCCCCGGGTAGCAGGTACCCATTTAAACCGGTGTAAAGTATAATTTTATTTCAATTCTTTGTATCATATGAACAGACAATCCTCAAACCGACAAGAACACTGGTGAGTTTTTTACAGTAGTTTTAGTAAATTTTTTTTAAAATTTCACTAAAATTAATATCTATTTATGAAAGTTAATATTTCTATTTAAATTTTAAATCTGTACAGGATTATGAATAGTATAGATATATGTAATCCAAACTGCTAGTCTGAACAATTTTCAGTCATGTTGGTAATCCATAAACCACGTGTTAAGTTTGAAATGAAATATGTTGTAAATTAATTATTTGTCGAAACCAGATGGAATGCAATAATAATTATTATGGGTTAAATAAGTTGAGGTACCATACCAGTTCATTACTGATGTTTAATTTAGTTTTAGGAAAGTTTATTTTTATTGGTGATATGTTGAAGAAAACAAAAGAGGAGAAATTCTGTGAACAAGAAATTCGATCCATCATGGTGTGCTGGATTTTAATTTTATGTTGAAGATTTAAAACAATCTGAGAAGTATATCAAAACTGTATATCAGATGTATTTGATTAAATGGATTCTGGGACAAATTGTTGTTTCTATGGTATTGAAGTTACTACAAAATATTGTGTGATGTTAATGGAAAATATATGGAAGAATAATATGATAAGTTAATGTTTGTGGTAACAATTCTCTAAGTATATGGATCTACTGTAGAAACGAGAAATGGAGTAGTAGTAACTTAACACGTGGTTTATGGATTACCAACATGACTGAAAATTGTTCAGACTAGCAGTTTGGATTACATATATCTATACTATTCATAATCCTGTACAGATTTAAAATTTAAATAGAAATATTAACTTTCATAAATAGATATTAATTTTAGTGAAATTTTAAAAAAAAATTTACTAAAACTACTGTAAAAAACTCACCAGTGTTCTTGTCGGTTTGAGGATTGTCTGTTCATATGATACAAAGAATTGAAATAAAATTATACTTTACACCGGTTTAAATGGGTACCTGCTACCCGGGGATGGAATCAATTTCCGGTTCCAATTGTCATAAATTGTAGTATTGTAGTATTGTAAGTATTGCCAACTACTTATTCAAGACTTAAGTCAGTCAATTACTCGAACTCAAAAAATTTGAATAATCATCAATATTCACCCAATTACTACTTTATTTAATTATTAATTATTATAATTTAAATTAAATATTTTTAAGAAATGTTTATACACCATAACAGATAGCTCAGACCGACAATTATTTCAAATAAAAAAAATTTTTAGGCAATTTGTAAATTTGTTATACCTTTCAATTACAAGTACACTTGTTTGTATTTACTAAATAATCATTTTAATTTGTTCTGGAAAATTCAGACTAAAATTGGTTAGTTATAACAGATGATGTATTTCAATTATTCACATTGTTACATTGAGGAAAATCTTTTGAATTTGAAACTTATTAATTAAAATTGTTAAAATATGCCAATATTAATCACAACAATTTACTTTTGATTACTAAATTAAAGCAAATTTTGAGACATTCATTAATATCAACATACTCCATAATACTGAATAACTAAACTTACAGTATTTAGTAATAGAAGAAGAACTGTCACACTTCAACCTACATATGTCAAATTTACCTCTTAAATCTAATAGATTAAATATGGAAAAAACTCATTATTTCCAACAGTGAGATGTAGTGCTGGCAGTTTCTTCCATTCCCCCCCACAAGTTTAAGTTTTAAATTCAATGTTTGTCCCGTCATTTAGTGTTTCTGTTCCTGTTAATGTGTGTTTAATTTGTCCCAGATTGTCTTAATTTGTAATAATTTTATATACTTTTTATATACATTTTACATAATTGACTTTACAATAATTGATTAATTTTGCCAATAGACTTGCTAATTACAAGTCAAAATAATTGCACAACCACACAATCGGTACAGCTATTCTTATTCATTGTCAAAAAACTGTCTCCTTCATTACATAAATACTCAATAAATAACACATATTCCAAAAATATATCTCTGATATAAGTGTAAATAATTTAAATAATACAATAGTAAAGAACATCACTTTCATCTGACAAACAACCACAATATACCTATCTCTAATTCATTGGATCAAATCTGTTCTCCTCAAGAACTTCCCGTTTATTGTCAAAACAACTGCAATAGCACATTAAAGTTCTCCAATCAACAATACATGATTTTGCAACCATGACCTACCATCCATCAATTAATAGAGTACCGGCATGTAAGTAATGTTTGTTTTGTTTTATTTATCTGCTCATTTATTAATTTATTACAATATAATATTACTACTTTATACCAATTGTGGGTCTTACCTTGTCTGTTAATACCTTTATATATATTCAAATTTATTCATTTTGAAAACCACAGACATGTAATATTGGCATAATTACTATAATTTGTATGAACTAACTTATTTATTTATTTTATCTTTATTAGACACCACCCTAATTGGGTTTATTTTATTGCAGCATTAGTTTAACTTTGTATCTGGACCTGAGGATGCTTTGCAAATTGTAGAAAGCGAAACCGGTCGTCAGATTGTTAAATTAAATTGATTGTGAGTAAGTCTTATTATTATTTCTTTACCTATTTGATATGGACTCACACAAGCAACACATTCATGATTTGAATATTATTGTACTTTACCATAGGCGTAATAAAAAAAATAATATAAAAATGCGGCTTCTACTTGCCTAACAAAAATTCATAAGTTATTTCTATTTAACAAAACAAAATAAAAAGTAAGACGTATCAAAAGTACCGGACGCTAAGGGGTGTGCGGTTCAATACCGACCAAAAAAAATAATTAACGCAAATAGGACACCACGTGAGCTCACGTGCGTGCGCAGGAAATAATATAAAAACATATATCTCAAATATATAACCCCCTCCCTTAGACGCAGTTTACAAAAACAAAATAGGTATGTGTAAATATTTAACTTATAAAATAAACCGCAAATATTTAAAAAAAAAACTGTAAAGTATTTGTAAATATTAAAATAAAAACTAACAGCAAGTAATCTTTAAAAAAAACTATTGTATTCCTTAAACAAATTAGACGGCGCTTAAATCTTCCGTTGAAAATTGATTATCGATCCATACCTTGAATTTTCATATACTTCACCGCGTGGAAATCCAGTTACAGTTCAGTGTGTCTCCAATCCACGATCCCCATACGATTGCCGATGTACATAGACTTGTGTAACAATGTTGCGAAGTTGAAAATTACAGCCAGACGGAAAAATACGAAGAAGAAGAAGAAGGAAAAAAACCACACAAACCAACAAAACAGCAAACCAGCAAAACAGCAAAACAGCAAAACAGCAAAACAGCAAAACAGCAAAACAGCAAAACAGCAAAACAGCAAAACAGCAAAACAGCAAAACAGCAAAACAGCAAAACAGCAAAACAGCAAAACAGCAAAACAGCAAAACAGCAAAAATCCCGAAGCAAGAAAACAATAATTACCATCTGTGTCTAAAATAATTATTTGGAAATAAATATATTGATTTTAACACTTTGTTTATCTGCCTTTTGGCGATAATGGAGCAATACAAAAAAAACTAGTATCTGAACTTGAATGTATGAAAACTGATAAAAATTTGAATAGCTTTTTAGAGATGGGAAAAACTAACTACAACTTTTCAATTAATTAAAAACGAAATGTTCTAACACTCACCCTTCTCAGGCAGATTAGGGGTTTGAAATATCCCAAATTGGACCGAAACGTAGTCGGCTATTTGGACTCGTGATTAACGCTAATTTCTTGTTCTAAATACGACTCCCGGTGTTCACGTGTACTGTAGATCCGCTTTTCTTTAGCGAAATTGTGGATTTTCCAAAAAAACCCTTCCACGAAGGCAGCAAATCCCCTTGAACATCCACACGGTTCGGACTAGTCCAGATCCCACATGGAACAGCAGCAAAAATCAAAATGCCGTTTTTTTAATCTAGCCCAACCTATCAGTTACAACGTCAGACCAAGAATCAGTTCCTTTCCGTCGTCTTTCCGAGCACTTAACAACTTGACACACGGAGGTCACCGAATAATACCGAGATTTAAACATTTCAATTTTATGATTCAACACAATTTGCCAGACATTACCCCTATTTGGAAATTTTATTTTCGCCAACTTGCTTATAATATATTATAGGCAACCGCTCTTACACGTCTTGACTTATTTGAATTTTGATAAAATAGAGGTGGGACTTTCTACTTTAAATTTGGAACGTAACAAATCTGGACAACCGATTGTCGTTGAGTTTCATTCAATCTCTGTCCTCGATAATTAGGTTGTCCAAGACCATAAGGACCTACAGTTTGACCTAGTCGACCTTCTTAAAACTTTGAATTGTAGTCGCCTGTAATGTATAAAATTTCATGTTTAAGCTTTTGTACGGTGTCCAGGAGTTGATCATGGAGCTTTTTGACTTTATCGTCTTACTTCCTATCTAGAGTCGGGCATATATTTGATATTTAGGGAGCAAATTTGAAGTGAAATAAAACTTTATTTCTTTCACTAATGGCAGACGATACAACATATGTTTGTACACTCAGACGGTATCGATTCCTCGTTTCTTTTTTGATGGAAAAGTACATGGGTGATTTTAGGAGTTTTCAAATTGGGAAAGTCAAGATGCAGTTAGGATATCGACCTGTATTTTGAAACAAATTGCATTTCATCAATCATATATAATCATATGTTAAAAGACTCGCCCAAGAAATTATTTACAGAGACTTATGACTGCGACGGTGCTGCTGTAATGCATAAACAGTTGCATGGAGTTTATATTAAAATCCGAGAAATTTACAAAAATACGTTTTATTTATATCATTACTTCGATCAATTTAATAAATTATTGAAAAATGCGATGTCAAGTACTCATACTTTTTGTATATTTTTTGGTAACATAGGCGGCATATCTGTATTTTTTTTAATCTCCGGAAACAACAACAGCGTTAAAACAAGTGATGAACAAGTGAATTGATAAAGCTTCGAAATATGATGTAATTTTAAGTTTAGAGCAATGCAAACTGTATTTGAAAATTGAAACAGCATCCTAGAATGTTTCCAAATGATTGAGTCTGGAAATCGTAAAATATATAACACAGAAACTATCCTTCACGCCGCGCCGGTTTCGTCAAATTGTTAAAAGATCCTACATTCCAGTAATCAGAAATATCCTACATTCTGTAACGAAAAATATGCAAAAATCGAGTGGACCGAAGAGACGTGCTTTTAAAAAGCATTTATCTGGTGCAAAGTAGTTCCAAACAGAAAATTATAAATATTATAGAAAGGAACTTATATTCAAAGGTATTGATATCTTCTGCAATGCATTTTCAATGCTTGAAAAATGTGCCCTGAAATTAGAATTACCAATTTTACTCACAGCCAGAAATAACTCAATAAAACCTAATCGCAAAAAAACTTTAATCTGTTGCTGACGTATTTTAAATTTAATAGTATCATATATGGTTGGTATTTAACATTTTGTAAAATAAGCACAGTTTTGATTATTTTGATGACGAAGCCAATGACCACTGCAGAAACGTCAAAATGCTCCTAATGAGTACAATAATACAGAGCAAAGACTGGCGGCGCTTGTCATGTTGTCCATCGAAAAAACTAGTTGGAAAAAAAATGACTTCAACAAAAAAATTATGAATAAGCAACAATTAAAGATAATAACACGTTTATTGACGTTTCAATTTCCAATTTTTTTTTAAATAACGTAACATATAAAATCAGAATTTTAATGTTTGTTGAAGGTAAACTAAATTCACGAACAAATACTTACAATGTCGGGATAGTATTATGAGTTTTTTTCCTGGTTTTTCCCTCATAATTTACTATGGAATCACTAGCAGGAGAATTTTACTGTCATCATGTCATGTGTTTGTCTTTTTAAAGACGAATTACATGCTATGATTTTTTTCTGACGGATATTCTCAAGTTAAAGTTGATTTCATGTAATCGAATGAACTATCTTATAAGTAAAGTCGTCCCAGGAGCGCAACTCAACAATATTGGCAATATCATTTTAAAGTCGTCTACTTTAAAATGCATAATGTATGTGTGAATTGTCAATATAAATGAGTCAGATAAAATTAAATTATTAGAAGAATTTTTCACTATGTAACAAAAAACAAAATTTGTTTAATTTATTGTTTGTATTTTCAGAACGATTTCCGAAGTGAAAATTGAAACGTATTTTTATCTTTAATTGTGGCTTATTCCCAGTTTAATAGTAATTAATTTACAATGCCACAAGAAAAGAGCTTCAGAACAATATTAAAAAAATTATGGAAAGGTTTATTTTTGATAAAAACGAAAATATGAAGTTTTATTTTAAGAAGTAGGCTTTGAGTAAGTACCAATTTATTTTTTGTATTATCGAAACAAAGGCCGCTTGAACAATATTACTATAAAGCGCCACTGTTACTGCCGCTGATCTATTTTTTTTTTTCATCTATTTTCTGATGTAAATTTTTAAATTTGAAATTTAAAAAATATTTGAATTTTTAAGTTTCACTAAAATAAACGACAATAAAAACCGAAATCCAGTACATGACACTTTTTATTGACGCCAATAAAAAGTATTTTTTTCCTTAAATCTGACGAAATCCCTCGAGTTCTTAAGGATTCCAGCTCTCGCGATCTGAATAATATCGGAAATATGCCTATTGTCACTCGAACCGATATAGAGCGGCGATATTTCTCTTGAATACTGAAAAAGGAAGCAGCTTTGTCACTAAAATTCCATTTAAGATATTCCATTTAAGCCCGATTTGTCGTCGTGGTCGTATGAGTGACTCTTTTTCGATATGCGTTGAACTTTTCAGCTTTAAAACTCAAGGTATCACAGGAATACTCAATAGGTATTAGGAACAAGTTATAACCTGTAGAAATGAAGGCAGCCAAGTTTAGGTAATAAACATCAAAAGCTTATGTATTAATACAGATACATAGTTAATTGATGTTTTACAAAGGTGAAACCACTGAACCAATTTCAGTAAAATTTTGTGAAAGTTAATTTTTGGTCCAAGTTACGATATAGTATTTTTTATCTCGATGAATGATCCTTACTTATTTTAATAATAAATTCAAAATGTTTTTTACAAGTCCACTTCTATAGTTTTAGTTCATGTAAGCCAAAGATAAACATAAAATGACGTTAAAAAACGTCAAAAAAGGAGAGACCATTAAAAAAACATAAACATTTCATTTAATTAGCTATACGGAATATATAGATGGAAGAGTACATTTTTAACGTTACCTACTTGTTAATAAATTCATCTTTAACTATAATACTTAAATATACCATCTTTAGTTTAAGTATATATAATAATAAAATTTACTAACAAATTACACTTTAATATTAATTTAATATTTAATCTGACTTTGGCGGGTCTGTCGGAAGTAAACTCTCAGAAGTAAAAGTTTGTTTGTATGTTAGCAGATGGCGTTAGGAGCAAACAATAATTTATTAAATTATTAAAATGCATATAATTTATATAAAGTATCCATAATAAATAAATAATTTAAAAATATTTTCTGAATTTTAAAAATACAGGTAACATAGTATGAAGCTCCGCTCTAATCTAAAGTAAAACCAACTCTACCTCCTTTTTTTCATTAACTCGGGCACGACTACTGGATGATAATACATATATATATATATATATATATATATATATATATATATATATATATATATATATATATATATATATAAATATATATATATATATATATATATAGTATATATATATATAAATATATATATAGTATATATAAAGTAGTTAGGTATTATTGACTGACACGTTATGTAAAATAAAGTTTTATTTTGAGGATGCAGTCATTTAAGTAGGGCAGGATAAGTAAAAGTCTTTGTTCTTAAATCAAGCTTTCGCAAAATTTATTTGCTTCATCAGGATATGCTAAAATATGTTATGGTAAATACAATGAAATTAGAATTAAGAAAAACATTGTATAAAACTATATAAAAACTTACAACATGAGGTTAAACCATTAAATTATTAAATTCACAAAACATTATTAATTTTTCCTAAATTATATTTTTATGCAAGTACAATATTTTAATTTTGAATATATTATGACATTGATTAATAATGATGTTTGATATACGTCAGAAAGACACTCGTGTCTGTTTTTATTATTGATAATTAGCTCTAGATTGTTATTATGCTTACGTAAAAAGTGGCGCCAAGTATGAATATTTAAATTTTTGAAAATATAGTATTTATAGTCAGAAAATCATTCTATTATTACATTCTATCTTACGAAAATTAATACTTTAATTTTCTAATATATGATTTTCTGACTATAAATACTATATTTTCAAAATTTAAATATTCATACTTGGCGCCACTTTTTACGTAAGCATAATAACAATCTAGAGCTAATTATCAATACTAAAAACAGACACGAGTGTCTTTCTGACATATATCAAACATCATTATTAATCAATGTCATAATATATTCAAAATTAAAATATTGTACTTGCATAAAAATATAATTTAGGAAAAATTAATAATGTTTTGTGAATTTAATAATTTAATGGTTTAACCTCATGTTGTAAGTTTTTATATAGTTTTATACAATGTTTTTCTTAATTCTAATTTCATTGTATTTACCATAACATATTTTAGCATATCCTGATGAAGCAAATAAATTTTGCGAAAGCTTGATTTAAGAACAAAGAGTTTTACTTATCCTGCCCTACTTAAATGACTGCATCCTCAAAATTAAACTTTATTTTATATATATATATATATATATATATATATATATATATATATATATATATATATATCTATATATATATATATATATATATATATCTATATATATATATATATATATATATATCTATATATATATATATATATATATATATATATATATATATATATATCTATATATATATATATATATATATAATATATATATATATATATATATATATATATATAGATATATATATATATATATATATAGATATATATATATATATAGATATATATATATATATATATATATATATATATATATATATATATATATATATATAAAATAAAGTTTAATTTTGAGGATGCAGTCATTTAAGTAGGGCAGGATAAGTAAAACTCTTTGTTCTTAAATCAAGCTTTCGCAAAATTTATTTGCTTCATCAGGATATGCTAAAATATGTTATGGTAAATACAATGAAATTAGAATTAAGAAAAACATTGTATAAAACTATATAAAAACTTACAACATGAGGTTAAACCATTAAATTATTAAATTCACAAAACATTATTAATTTTTCCTAAATTATATTTTTATGCAAGTACAATATTTTAATTTTGAATATATTATGACATTGATTAATAATGATGTTTGATATATGTCAGAAAGACACTCGTGTCTGTTTTTAGTATTGATAATTAGCTCTAGATTGTTATTATGCTTACGTAAAAAGTGGCGCCAAGTATAAATATTTAAATTTTTGAAAATATAGTATTTATAGTCAGAAAATCATATATTAGAAAATTAAAGTATTAATTTTCGTAAGATAGAATGTAATAATAGAATGATTATATTAAATATTATAATATATATATATATATATATATATATATATATATATATATATATATATATATAATATATATATATATATATATATATATATATATTATGTTATTGTGATATTTAAAGTCTTGGTGCGCCAAGCAATTAATTAGCTAATTAATTAATTAATTAATTAAATTATTTAAATGATATGATTATGATTCTATCACACTTTTTAATTCTCTTATCTCAGGGTCATATTCGTGCTTCAATATCTATGCTTTACATGTAAAAGGTAAGGTCCAAAGAATACCGGAAAAATAAAAAACATCTATGATATAACCTTATATATTGATAATATCATATTTCATATTTCATAATGAAAATAATATTTTATTATTTTCATTATGAAATAAAAATAATGAAATAAAATTCACACTCAAATGTTTTCAATAAACAATATCTCATATAGTGATTCTCAAAATTTTGTTCTACCTACGTGAACCTTCAAAATTAATGGTACAAACAATATTAGTTAAAATCTCAAAATCCCAATTATTATTCTAAATCTCCTTATCAAAATACTTATATCTTTTCTAAAGTAATTGCAAAAATTGTGTTATCAATAAAAGAAAAACTGCAGAAAAACAAAACTATCTCTCTCTGATGATGAGTGGTCCAAATCCTTGTTCCTTGTAGCCTGTACTATCTATTCTTAGCAGCTCCCTAGGTAATCAGCAATCTTACAACAAATTGTTGCAAATTTATTGTCCTTAATGATCTCCTTCAAATGCACGAATCGTTCAAATTATGTTAGCCTCTTCTCCTCGCGATAAACTGAATCTCTCGTTAGCCTGAGTAAAAAATGACTCTTTGAATATACGTAGAAAAATATGGCTTACAATCTTTTACTGGATCAGATTCTGTCAGATACACTAACTACACGAAAACTCACAAACTTGCACTGCTACTGCTTCCTACCTCTGAGAAACTACCCGAGAAAAACGGCCGTTCGCCTTGCACCCTTGGAAACCAACTGACTATCTTTTCTTCTTCAAAAACTAACTAAAGTCTTATTCTCAAACCAACCATCCCACCTTTTTCAATCTCATCCAATCAAAACGCGTCATACCTCTTCTTCATTTCGATAACACAAACAAATTTTTACCTACCATTCTAAAATTTTCTAAAAATTATTTACAAAATAATCTTTTTCTACCAATTCTTATGAACTAACAAAAACATATCTTTCTAAAATCTATTCTATTGTCCTAATTACTGCACAAATTTATTTGGAAAACCCGCTTCCATTGTCTAGGATTTCACTTAAGCCCATTCACGTCATTAAAATATATTTTAACAAAGAAAATAATTTATGCATATCTTACGTTTTGTTCAATATAGGTAATCTAAAGATAAAAGACTTTCATTCTTCGAAATGTTTGTAGTTTTTTATACGACTTATCTGAATTATTTTAATTTTTTGAACTTTAAAATATTTTAAGCAAACCAATATTTTTCTCGATTTTACATATCATAACAATATATATATACACATCATACATGTCTATATATCCTCTATGTATACAGCGAGGAGTACGGCAAGAAAACACAGTCTCTCCAAAGTTATTCACGACGCTTTTAAAACATATTTGTAAGAAAACACATCTGAACGAGCATGGTATCAATGTAAATGAAGAGAAGTCATTTGAGATTAGCAGATGACATCTTCCTTATAACCGATCGTATGGTGGATGCAATAATAATGTTTGAAAAATGATATCACTCTTCCTTGGTGGTCGGACTAAAGATTAATATGAACAAGATTCAAACAATGAATAATCTGGTGCTAAATGGAAATATTGCTATTGATGGTATATTGTGCAGACTAGTTGCTGCAGAGTTTGCTAAATCAGATAACCAATGGACAAAACGTATTTTAGAGTAGAGACCAAGGCAAGAGCAATATGGAGCGGAGGTGGCCCACCAACTAGATAGATTGACGATCCGAAGCGTGTTAGCAATAACTGAATGCAAGCCGCACAAAACAGAGACAGATGGAAAGAGCTGAGGGAGACCTATGTCCAGCAGTGGACGCATACAGGTTGATGATGATAATGCATCATATCTAGCCTATCTGAACAAAATTAGAATACTAGCAACCGATATCTGCGAAGGATCCAAGAAAGAGCCGATCTTAACCATTTATTACTAAATTGTAGAAAACATAACAGCCACATTAACACCTATTGGCAAACTAGCAAAAATTGGCATTAATTTCTTAACAAAAATATTATCTAAACGATAATAGAAAAGATGTGTTTAAATCTATGTAAAATTTATTGAGAATGCAAACACGCTGATTAAAATAATAATAATAATAATAAAATCAATTCTGTATCTATCTTGTTACTCCATTCATCTAATCTTAGCTTGCGTGGAGAAGGGGCTCCGAACCAAGAAGAGATCTTTCAGTACTTCACGTAAGACACACTGGAAGGGGAATAACGTGATTGAGGAAATATTAGGATGTCACCTACATAACACAAAAAAAAAAATAAGAAGAAAAAAAATATACATGAAAAAAAAAAATAAAACAACATAACAAATCTTCACAATACAAAAAGAATATGATGCATCTATAACACAAAATAACTCGATGAAGCTATATTTGCCTGTTTACACTGACGGAATCAGTCAATCAATCATAATAATTAGTACAGATAACATTAATCCTAAGTAAACAATTATGTCTAACATTGTTTATTTAATAACCAAACACTCCATAAATATCTACTACTACTATTCAACCTAATCAATAATTAGTAACAGTGTTTATGGCTGCATGAATTCCCTCCTAATTCCAAAAAAATAAAAAAAAATCTACTTGGATGAGTATTATTGTGTTGACTATTGGGAGAAAATTACTGTTGTATTTGTTTATATGTTTACTTAGAATTATATCTATGCCATGTATATGTCCCATTCAGTGTTCCCCTATTATATAAATCTATTATATACTTATTCTACTTTCGGCAGCACATCACATTTTACTAATGGCAGTGATATTTATTTTAAGCTTAATAAATATGTTTTTGTTCTAGGATCTCCACAAAAGCATCCTTCCAGTGACGGCAATGTCAATTTTAACAGCAGCGTTAATCCTGATTCTCCTAGCTTCCCATTTTCCACCGGTTTTAGAATCAGAAGCTTGGGCACTTCTCTCATCACTCGTACTAACAGCTGGAGTCACTGCAGCGATGCTATTATTGGCAGGACGTCATGCACCTCTGCCTCTTTTTGCTCTACTGATTGCTATCCACACGATGTTGCCGCTCTCGAGAGCAGTGGCTATGGCATTGGCAACAATTGTTACTGTTGCACATCTTGCTACTTCTATAGCCTACCGAATTAATGATGGAGTAATAACTAATTACATACAGGTAAGCAATATATAGGGTGAAAGTCCCTTATGAATGACATAAAATTATTTCTGCCCATGTTTTAAAAAATTATAAAAACCGCTGGAACCAGTGAACTTTTATATATAAATATGCGCTTTTTAAACATAAATTTAAATGTACATGGGGAATCACGCAGGCCTAGCATAGTCAGAAAGCTTTATTTTTAGTGGAACACCCTGTATATTTTATTTTTGGTTGTAAATCAAGTAATTTATAAATGTAATAATTTACTACATATGTAGTATCTAGAGTTATCTCGAAGTTATTGGAATATGTGTTGTTGACCTCAACGTTTTCTGGGTTGTTGACGTATAGATATTTTAGTAGATCTGTTAGATGTTCAAGAAGTCTATTTTATTTACTATGTGTCACATTTAATGCCACTTTACATTGTCGAATGCTTTCGAGTAGTCGATAAAGCACAAATAAGTTTTCAAATTAAATTCGGTTTTCTATAATATGTCAATCAGGCATTTTGCATGCCCGATTGACTACAAAAAGGCTTTCGATAGAGTCAGGCATGAACAAATGATGGAAGTGCTGAAGAGGACAGGGATTGTTGGAAGAGACTTAAAAATTATACATAATCTGTATTGGAATCAATCAGCAGTACTCCGAATAGATGGAGAATATACAGAACAGGTCAAAATCTTAAGAGGAGTGAGACAGGGGTGCATAATTTCACCACTGATATTCAATCTGTACTCGGAGCACATTTTTGAAAAGGACTTAACTGGAGTCAAGCTTAATAACCTGCGGTATGCAGATTATACAATAGTGTTTTCCAATACCATAGAAGGGCTGCAAAACTTAATGAACAAAATAACAGAAACAAGTAGAACCTATAGACTGGATATAAACACCAGCAAAACTAAGCTAATGATCATCAGCAAGCAAAACATAACTGGAACAAATCTGTATGTGAACCAAATAAGAATTGAACGTGTCTCACAATACAATTACTTGGAAACTATAATCAATGAGTCGTGGGACAATACCCAAGAGATTAAATGTCGCATTGGAAAGGCCAAAAGTGCATTCTTGGCTATGAGCTCTGTGTTCAAAAGCCATGACCTCACCCTGAAAACAAAAATAAGGCTCCTTAAATGTTACGCGTACTCAGTGCTTCTGTATGGAGTAGAAACGTGGACATTGAAGGCGGAAACTCTATCAAAACTTCAGGCCTTTGAATTATGGTTATACGGAAGAATCCTGAAGATACCATGGACAGACAAGGGCCATGTGAAGAGACGTAAGCTGGAGTACTTGGGACATATAATGAGAAATCAAGGCAGATATGAGCTACTCCAATGCATTTTGCAGGGTAAAATTGAAGGAAAAAGAGCCCCAGGACGAAGAAGAATATTCTGGCTTGCTAACCTGAGAGCATGATATAGAAAGACCTCAACACAGCTATTTCGTATAGCAACCAACAAAATCATCATAGCCAGAATGATCGCCAACGTTCGGAACGGACAGGCACCCTAAGAAGAAGAATAATATGTCTCAGGTTGAAAATCTGCAACATCCCTTCCAGGGACAAACTCCCCTTTTTATTGAGAAATACGTGGTAAGAGTATTGATTTTAATCTAATGTTAATTATAGTAAGATGAACTTTACTTGCGGGGAAGATTAGGGCTATCGTAAAGTAGTTCTTAAAGTCAGTTGGTAAACCTTTCTTGTTGATAGGTATGAAAGTGAGCTTACTCTAATGGTCTTTATGTGTTCCAGATTTTATTACATGATTTGAACAATATTTCAATTCCCATGTATCCTATTTCTTTAAGTGCTTCTACCATTAATCCCTCTTCCCCTTGAAATTTTCTATTTTTCTGCTAGAAAACATTAGTAACATTAGAACATTAGAAATTATCTACCCGATATAAAAAGTAAAAAGAATAACTTAGTTGAACCTGATATCCATGGAGAATAATGGACGGCTTTATAAGAAAGAGAAAAATACGACTACACAAATACTTAAAATCAAGGTCACAGGAAGTAGATGATCTGTTTCGTTCTTCTTCTTTCATGATATATTCTACTACATCATCATCATCATCATCATCATCCAGCCTCTATTTATCACTTCCACTGCTGGACATAGGCCTCCCTTAAACTCCTCCATTCCTCACGATTGTGTGCTCTTTGTTGCCAATTTTTAGTGATACGCCTGATGTCGTCGGGCCAACGAGTAGGTGGTCTTCCTCTACTGCGTTTGTCTGCTCTTGGTCTCGAATTTGTAATTTTGCTCGTCCATCGTGAATCGTGCATTCTCGCTACATGGCCTGCCCAGTTCCATTTTAGTTCCGCTATGCGTTCCACAACATCAGTAATGCTCGTCCTTCTTCGCAGATCTTCGTTTCTTATTCGGTCCCTCAACGTCACTCCCAGCATAGACCGTTCCATTCGTCTCTGTGCCACTGAAGCCGTGGTCTTGGTTAAAGTCATAGTTTCCGCCCCATAGGTCATGACCGGTAATACGCATTGGTCAAACACTTTTTTTTGAGGCTGATTGGTATGTTGGCCCTAAGTGTGTCTTGCAGTTTTCCAAAGGCTGCCCATGTTAAAGTAATTCGTCTTTGGATCTCACATGTTTGGTTATCCCTGCTGATTCTTATTTCATGACCCAAATACGTATATTTCTCCAACAGTTCTACCACTTTGTCTTGAATTGTCAAATGGTTATTGGGGACCAAATTTGTCATAAACTTAGTTTTGGTCAAGTTGATTCTCAGGCCCACCTTCGAACATGCAAAATCCAATTCGTTTAACATATCTGTAGCTTCTCCTAAATTATCTGTGATAAGGACAATGTCATCTGCAAAGCGGAGATGGTTAAGCTTTATTGTTAGCTTAACCGTCTATCGTTACTCCTTTGTGGTCCAAATTGATCATCTTAAAGGCATATTCTAATGCCGTTATGAATAATTTCGGCGACAATGTATCTCCTTGCCTTATTCCACGATTTATTTTTATTGGTCGGGTTTTATTGTCTATTTTAACAGTCATAGTGGCATTTTTGTAAATATTATAAATAAGCTCACTATACCTATGGTCAATCCTGCTGTCATTCATTGCTTCTATAAGGCTGTCTAATTCGATCGTGTCGAACGCTTTATGAAAATCTATGAAAGTGAGAACAAGAGGTTTGTTATATTCTATAGATTTTTCAATGAGTGTCTTTACTGTGTGGAGGTGATCATTGGTACCATAGTTTCAGCGGAATCCTGCCTGCTCTCTCGGTTGGTAGAAATCTAATTTTTTCTCCAATCTTGATGTCACTACCCTAGTGAAGAGCTTGTATATGTGGTTCAACAGGCTAATAGGACTATAATTTTCTAGGTCCGTTCTATCTCCTTTTTGATGCAAAAGGATGGTTGTAGCATTGTTCCACTCTTTGGGCACCTCTCTTTGCTGCAAACATAGATTGAATAGTTTCTTTAATTTATTTAATAGCATATCTCCTCCATTTACGATAGCTTCTATTACGATTCCATCCTCTCCTGGGGCTTTGTTATTTTTCATTTTTCTTAATGCTTGTCGTATCTCATCTAGCTTTATCTCTGGCATTAGTTCGGAACCTTGATTCTTGATCTTCTTTGAAATGGCTGTTTGTATTCCTGTTTTATCTTCTCGTCTACTTCTATATAAGTCCTCGTAAAACTCTTCGACGACCTGTATTAACTCGTCTCTACGTAATATTATTTCATTCTACTACAACTTTATCTAAATTATTTAATTGTAACTCATAATTTTGGGAAGAAGTAGGAACTGGTTATCGATTTCACGAATAGTTAATAAAGTATTCGGATGTGGACCTGTTCTTCTTTTTTTTTATTGGTAGCCTTGCTGAATAATTGCTTGATTCAAGCAAAAGTAGCAGTCATCAATAAGTTTTCAGATTCTCGCCAAACTATGAGAACAGCACAATATATAGATCGTCTTTTAGTTTTCAGATATTCTTGTAATATATCTGAACAAGATATGGTAAATATGTAGCCCAAATTTTGTCCTAAATTAATACCAAAATAAAGGTAATAGGAAGTTTTCACAGTAAAGGTAAGGTTTCGTGTCTTTCGTATTACCACATATATAACAAAAATTTATTGAATTAACAAACTTCGGTGAGATGTTGAATTCCACAACGTGTTCACGACATAGAACAAAGAAAACATTCTGAAAATAAAAATGTTCCCACTGTAGCATAAATGATATAAAAACTCACATAAACTTTTGCACTAATTACAACTAATAAAAATGATAGAAAACTGACAAATTTGAAATTAGTTATAATGGTTAATAACTACTAATTTCAGGAAAATGCCTGTTTTATAATTTGGAAGTCAAGCCAATTTTCAAAAACTAAATTTTTCCAAAACTATTATGGGTTGCTAAGAATCATTCTCTTTACATTACAAAAACTCTCTATTTACATTTTGTAGAGAAAACAATGATTTAGATGTTTTTAAAAGAAAAACTTTATACAAATTTTAGAAGTATTGTTTATAAGATATATATTTATTCTTTATGACTGACACCGTTGTTTGGTCAAAAAAATACAGGGTGTTAATTTTCTCTACGTGATGGGTTCGATTCCTGACGGTGATTTTTAAATAATCTTCGAATGCGGTTTTTATGTGGACTATAAGAGTATTTTGATCACAATAAGATTTATAATTGATAAGCAAAAAAGTATTCCCAAAAAATATGGGAATACGTGCTTGGCGGAGAGCGATGGAAGACGACTGGAGAGAAATTATTGAGGAGGTTAAGACCCATGGAGGGTTGTAAAGCCAGAATAATGATGACGATGAAGTCACAACAGCAATGCAGTCTTCTAAACCTAAATCTATTTTCTTATTTCTAGAATTATAACTGCTGTTCATAAATGAAAAAACAGAACACATTAAAAACATGCTGAACCCCCTCTGTGGCTCAGTGGTAAGAGCGCCTACCTTTAAACCTAAAGGTCGTGAGT